CCCATCTCTCCAACAACGCAACCTCAAACATCCTCCCTCTCCTATCCGACAGCCAACGTAGAAGAACCTTAGATGTTTCCGTCCCGATGCTCAGCCTCTGAGCAATCCTCTCCCGATTGAAGGTGAATTGGAGGCCCCGGGCCACGACAAGGACTTCGCTAGACCTCCACTTTCCTCCGAGCCACGCCATCATCTCGACCGCAAGCCTCCCCTTACCCTCAACGAGCCACAGGCCTGCCATCACGCAAGGAAGCGCACGACTCCCGATCCCTGGCCTGCCGGCACTCTTTAGGTTCGAGGAGGTCGCGCGCTGACTCGCGGAGGAAACGGCCCGTCGTTGGTGGAAGCTCGGAGGTGGGGAAGCAACGGCGCGCGGGAGTGATGGCGGAGAAGCGGAGCGGCGATGTGGCGGAGAAGCGGAGCGGCGATGTGGCGGAGAAGCGGAGCGGCGCCGTGGTGTGAGAAGCGGAGCGGTGACGTGGTGTGAGAAGCGGAGCAGCGATGCGGAAGCTGCGGGTCCGCGGTGGATTTGGGGGTCCGAAAGGGCGCGGCGAGAGAAAGGGGGATAACTCAAGATGCAAGCGCCCTTACCCTACGCAAATCCAGAACGCCGCGTGGTCAGGACAAGGGATCGAGTACCGAGCAGCGGCGGCGCGGCGTCAGATCCATATAGGGTTGGCGCCGACGGCGGATCGGCCGGCGCCGCGTGCCCCAATTTTAGGGCCAACAGGGGGTGTGTGGGAAGATAGAAATTGCACTTTATTTGGTTAGCCCTAAATCTGGGAAAAAGGGAAATTATCCGTTCGACGCGCCGGCGGGAAATCCGGATATATAAAAATCCGAGGGCGGTATCCCGACCGACCCTCGGGGGTAACTTGCTACTCTCCGACAGCGCCGGCGAAAAGTCTCGAGACTCGACATCCGAAGTATCCCCATCCCCCTCGCTCTCGCGACTCCTTTCCCCCGCCGCTGCGTGCGACGAGCGCGGCTACTACTAACCTCATCGTTCCCGTTCTCCCACAATCGAGTCTTGGGAGTGTTGGTTAAGCTTTTTGGTTGCCAATTTTCATTTCTGTCTTTTTTCCTGTTTCGCTATTTGAAGCAAAAGCTTTGCATCTAAAACAGTCTTCAAGTCTAAAACGGCATGAACTGAAGCATATCATGTGCTTCAGAAATGCCCCTGTTCATGATGAGCACTGGCAGTTGGGGCGTGGAATCCTCAGGTCTTTACGAAATGGTTACGCCCTTCCTCATGGAAAAAATCGCTATCATAAGGCTCGCATCTTGAGCTCTTTATCGGTAAACCAGCACAATTCCAACACGGTATTGTTCTCATAGCTTCCCCATTAAAAAACGGTACCACCAAAACAGCCTGATCCATACAATACTCCCCGCTACTCTCTTCACGAGTAGAACCTGTGCCACATGCTTGTATTTCTCGTAAGAAACACTCAACAACACAAATGTTCGTCTATACCTTTCAGAAACGTGTGCACTGACCGCTCCGACGACGATTCAAATTACAATCTTTCACCCCCCACCCGCCTTTAATTCACGATTGTCCCAACCAGTGGTACCCCTTACGCGACTAGGGCATCTTCATGTCGATACCGATACTGACGACGGTTCTTGGTATCCTGATCCCTTAATCTCCGAAGCCCTCCTTGATTCTGATCAAATATCAGAAAGCCACGGATTGCTACATTAAATGTAGGCTTGCTGTGCAAGGATGTCTCCGATGGACAAACGATAACGAGGATGGACCAAAATCCAACCTCTGCGGAGGATTTCGGGCATGGGGGTGTTTTGTGTAGCAATTTTGCCCTTTGAGTGTCATGATGTCGCTTACTTGAAGTGCCAGGAAAAGTTCAGAAATACCATCATGTAAGAACAAAGGGACTAGTACCAACCCTTTATATCTCTTCACGCCAAAGTCTCTAGTGAAGATGATGGAAGAAGACCACGTCCAAATGTTTTCACATTGCCGCATTTTTCGTCACGCTGCTGTCAGTTGAGTGTGCGAATTTGTGTGCTGATTTCTGCTGTCATGAGAAAACGTATTTATGGGCGTTTTCCTGTGTCATTTCAGAGCGGAGCAAAGAACGATGTATGATGTAAATCAGGAATCCCATAACTCTCTGTACTTGCAAAGAAATTGTTTACTGTTTGAGTTATTACTTTGTGAAACCGCCTAAAACCTGCATTACTCTCATGTACAGAGTTGCGGCAGATTCCAAGTTTCTCTTTTTGCTCTTATAGTTCACGCGTTCTACGCAATCGTGTTATTAGTTGTTTGGAGAATCAGGTTGACATGGTTTTCTCGCTTGAGATTTACGTACTTGTGGTTCCATCCAGATAATACACTAACAGTAGATGGCCGCCCTCCCCGAGGGAGTGAGGGCTATCGGCGTTCACAGAATCATAGTACCAAGGGTACTATACCTTCGAAGGTACTGTGTAGTGCTGGACCCACTACTCTGCCAAATCGCCACTCACTTCCCAGATATTAAGCTGCTGGCCTCTTTTGCGGATGACATTAATGCTATCCTTCCCCTGCGCACTGCGTCGCTTTTACTCCAGTTTCTACAATTCCATGGTCCCCGCAGAGGCTTCCACGTCAACCTCCGCAAGACCGAAGCCTGGTGGTGCGGTAGGGACATCGGCCCCCTTCCCTGCTCTGTCAACACGAACCCCGCCATCGACGTTCTCGGTGCACCAATTGGTGCTCCTTCGGGCTGCCTGGCTTATCTCCAGGACAGAATCACTGCTGTGCAGTGCATGTGGGAGCGCATCAGGCAACTACAAGACCCTCAAATTGCTTACCACCTCCTCCGCTTTAGCGCCAGGGCCAGCCGCCTGACGTACGTTCTCCGAGCTACCCCGCCGCATATAAACGCCCCTGCCTGTCAAATCTTTGACAATGGGCTGCGAAGGGTTTTCGAGGACGTCCACCGTCCCCTCTCTGATGCTGCATGGCACTTAGCTCAACTTCCCTTCAAAGTTGGTGGGCTCAGCCTACTCGCTACCTCTCACGTGAAAGAAGCAGCCTATGTTAGTTCCCTGCTGACTACACTCCCTCCGATCCGCGGCCTGCTCCCTGCCCGTCACCTCCTGGCTGGCGACCTGATCGCCCCGTCCCTCGCTGCCCTTAAGGATCGCTTTCCGCTGGGACCCGACTACACGTTGGACTCCCTTACCGGGCGTGACCGCTTCTAAGACTCTGCTTCACCTCATGAACTGCAACACCGGCTCACAGAGCGAAGTATGGATATTAGTTGCAAACGCCTGCAGCCCGACCCCAGCGACGGTTTCGATGTGGCTGTTAGAACCCGAGAACGGTTTCAGTCTCTTTCCGCTGCTAGCTCGGCTCGGCCCTTTTCAGCCCTGCCACAGTCCGACCTTGGCACGCGTGTCGCTCCCCCGATCTGGATCACAATGATCGAACTTCGCCTCGGTACCTCTATTTTCAATGTCACACAAGAATGCCCGAGTTGTACTGTCAGTGCCCTCCGTACCCAGTCCCGGACTCGTCCACTCCCGCTACTCGATACCTACGGCCATCACGCGACGATATGTTCCTGCGACGACGGTTCTACCAGGCGCCATAATGCCCTCCGCAACCGGCTCTATAAGCTTCTATCGCCGCAATACTACAGCATCAACGCTCGCTCGGAATGGCGCGTTCCACAGGATGCCCATAAGCCAGAAGGCGATCAACGACGCCTTGAAATTTATGTCCACGATCCCAGTTTTGATGAGCATCCCCACGCGTTCAATGTTTCAGTTGTCAGTACTCACTCTCGGAACACTGGATGGCGCTCCCGCTCCTCCTCTGAAAAAATCTTGCAAGCCGCAAGCACAAAAGAACGTACATACCGCGACGTTTGTTCGCCGCATACATCTGTCCATCTACACCCTATGATCTGGGACGTGTACGAGCGTATCGGCTCGGGTACGGTCAGAGGGCTCCAACTCGTCTCTGATTTCCCATCCAGTCGTACTGGACGTTGCCCCACCTCTACTCGTCTTCAAATTAGCACGATTCTTACTTCTCTCGTCCTTCAATACACCGCCCTATCCGTCAATCGCCGCCGGATTCACGCATCTCTTGCACCTCTCCATTAAGGGCCGGCCGCTTCTGCGCCCTGGCTCCCCCCTTCTAGTTACAATAAAGGTCGACCATTCAAAGGTACTGTACATACTGTAGTCAACGAGCTTGGGTCGGGAATTCTTGACGCACGGTAACCGGTTACTAGATGCTGCCTTCTGTTGCATTGCTGCTTCTGCCAGCACCACTCCGAACTATTGGTGCAGCCGGTCTGTCCCATCGGGAAATCCATGCGGACGGGCACGCGGACGGGCACACGGACGAGCACAGCACTGGGAGGAGGCATTCGATATGACTCCTTTCGACATCGCTCCTGAGGTTGGGGCCAAGAAAGCGTTAATTTTGCTCCTAAATTGATCCTATCTCGATCTGTGCCAGTTGTTGCCTTGTGAAAGGTCGACATTGGCTTGGTACCAACCAACAGCCGTGCCCCAATTCTATCACCGTGAGGGGGCACCTGACTGCTGCCAGCACACCATCAGCAAGTGTTGTCCAGTAGCAAGAGCAGAGTGGTGTGCCTGTCCAACGATGCATTTCTCATTCGTGGCGCAACTGAGGTGCAGTTTCGCATTTTGAACAACCATAGCTCCACAGATAGCGAAAGACCTCTCGTACATATAACTACTTACACCTTCATAGCGTCCCCGTATCACCACCTACAACAATGCTGTCATCCTGTTTCCTTCTCCATCCAAATGCTGTAAAACCCCCCAGCATCGTGCCCATACCTCTGCAATTCAAAGGGAATTCCCTTTCCTGTTCATGAGCTCCGCGGCTGTCGAAAGTTGCGACGTTCCTGCACATACTCTACAAGAGCGGATGAAATTTCTTCGACACTTTTCGAAGCCTTCGCTCCACGGGCCTTCCTTTCCCTCTCACGGAAGACTAAATCATGACCCATCCTTATTCCGAAGGCTATGATGAACCAACCAAGATTTTGCTTTCCAGCGATAACCATCTTGGTTATCTCGAGAATGACCCGCTTCGTCATGACGATAGCTTTCGCACTTTCGAGGAGCTTTTGTACATTGCCCGGTCCAACTCCGTTGATTTTATTGTGCTCTCCGGAAACCTCTTTCACCACAGGCAGCCCTCCAACGCTACTTTGCAGCGAACAATCAAGCTCTTGAGAGAGTATTGCCTTTCTCTGGACAGAAGATCTTCTTTGCATGTTATTTCTGACCCCCGCGCTGTCCATTTCAAAGACCCCCGCAATCCCGTCGCAATACCAGTTTTTGTTCTGCACGGGGACCGAGATAGTCCAGGCAAAGGTCATGGTACCAAAGCTCTCAGCCCTCTTGATGTCCTTGCTGAGTCCGGACTGATCACTTACTTTGGAAAAACCGGGTCAGACAACCCCCTTGAAATATCTCCGATTCTACTTGAGAAGGGTGGCAATGCAATTGCTCTTTACGGCCTCGGCCATATGCGAGGAGAAAAACTTCTGAAAGCCTCCCAAAAGGACAACGGCCTGTCGTGGATGCGTCCGAAAATAGAGAGAAAGAATGGTCAAATTGACTTGCTAGCTTACCCGCACAGAAGTCCCGCCATGGAACACAATCCAGATAGCCGTATCGATGACAACTGGTTTAACATTTTTGCTTTCCATCAGAATCGCGATATGGAGCATCCCTCGACACAAGCAGTCCATCATATTGCTGACGGTCCCAGAGGTGTTTCAGAGTCTTTTCTCCCAGATTGGATGGACTGCGTTGTTTGGGGACACGAAAACGGAAGGCCTCTGGAATGCACTTCATCAAAGATTTACCTAGTGCAACCGGGCTCCACAGTGGCCACATCCTTGTCTGAAGCGCAGGCAAAACCGAAGCACGTGGTCCTCATGGAGGTTGGCCTAGAGCACACCTACCCTCAAGAAATTGAGCTGCATACCGTACGAGACATGCATTTTGAACGCATTCCGTCTCCGTCGTCGTCGGAAGCGTACTCGGTTTTTATGGACCAGAAGCTGGACGAAGTGATTAGACGCCGGGAAGTTCAACATCAGAAAAAAATGCGCAACTTTAAGAAAGTCTTGGCTCAGCAGTCTGTCAAGAACATAGTCTACCCATCGGAAAAGTTTTACGAAATGGCCCTATATGGACTAGGACAACGCCCTCTCGTGCGAATCATCTTTGAGAAAACTGACGGACGAGAGCCCCGAAGCTCCGGACAAATGCGACGCAAATATGCTCCGCGCGTGGCTGCCATGCATGAATTATTTTCTGTTGAAAGAACCCATAGCGATTCCGAAGCAGGAATGGGCGTGCAAGCTCGCGACGTATCTCTTGCTCAAGGAGAAAGTATGCGTCTAATGCAAAACCTCTCCAACTATTTCACGTTTCATAGTGCAGTGGGGGGTGAAGGTTTGTCTTGTTTGAGAGCAGATCAGGTTAATAATACCATGGATGAGGCACTCAAAGGAGGAAAGCAAGTTAAGCTCTGGGAAGATGTCAAGGAGCAAATAGCGAATATCGAGGTAACAGTTGCGGATGAGAAATTGAATGCCTTGGCCTTAGGTGAGAGGATTGATAAGAATGAATTACGGGAGAGTCTTCGGAAGAAATCACAGCAAGCGACGATGCGTATGCTCCGAAATTCTCGACGACGTGCCGGCCTTTACGTGCGAACAGAAGCTACAGTAAGCAATAGCCAGACAGATGGGCTTGAAGATGAAGATGAGATACAACCGGTACAAGATCGGGATGATGAATCTTTTGATCAATACCTCACGCATGCGCATGAGGTGGTTATGCGCCAAAACTTAATACCTCACGATGGGCTTGAGGATGAAGATGAGATACAACCGGTACAAGATCGGGATGACGAATCTTTTGATCAATACCTCACGCATGCGCATGAGGAGGATATGCGCCAAAACTCAATACCTCACGGGACGAGAGCTTTTTCTGTAGGTGGCACGTCTGCGACTCGTAGGAAACGCACAGGCACACCGCAGAGATCTCCGAAGAGAGCGAAGCGTTCAAGTCCAGCGCGAACCCCACGAGAGCGTTTTGGTGATATTGAAAGCAGATTGAATAACCAGGCTTCAAAAGAAGAAGACGAGATAATGCCTGCTCCAGCGATCGCTCAGGGCGCTACAACTCGCTAGAGAAGGGTAATATCCTCGCCAAAGCAAAGGCCCTCGAAGATACCGTCGTGGGCCTGACAACCCCGCTGAGGCGAAACCGCCATTCCAGGGGACTACTACCAGCGCCGGGGGACGTCAGACAAAACCAAACCGTCGAGAGAACGTGTGGAGCGCGAGATAGCGCCAAAGAAAGGGCCGAGGCCAAGATCTATAATAATGGGGGTTCGAAGAGCTCCCAAAACGACGTCAAGGGTAATAGGGCATTCAGTGTGGAGGAAAAGACGAAAGTCCACAGAGACTACGCAAGAGGCAATACGGGTGCAGTCGAGCCGACGAATTTAAGAGGCACAGTGAAACGGGAGAGCACATTAGCTTCACTGAGACAGCAGAAATCTAGGATAACGTATCAGAGAGGATATGCGGCGACGCGCAACCCAAACACGCAAGCTAGACGTGCCAAAAGCTCATCGGGAGATCGTTTTGGCGAACGTCAGATGTATTCGACAAGTCCGCGGAAAGCAAGTGATGTCACCGGATGGGGGAGACGGACCCCGAGGAAGAAAGTGCCGAGTCCATTTCAGCAGACAAAATTAAAGAGGGTATAGGCAGTATGGGGAAGATGGCTGTACTACTGAGTGCTACTTGCAAATATAGCGGAAGTTGACCGTACTGCTATATCCGATGCATCTCTGGACTCTGGACGTTGCTTAGTAGACATGTCGCATTTTGCCTTCTGGGTGTCAAGATGTCAGCAGAGGGGCACGAGGCGCGTTTGTATGGTCTGTACTGTCACATCCTCTTGCTCCCTGTTTTCATTTTTGTTTGATGTTGTAAAGAACTCGAGACTGTGATCAGAGTTGAACCGCGGGGAATATGGCGGCTTTCACTGTCAAGCCTGCTGGCACTAACACATCTGTTTGGCGTAGTCATCTATGTCATTTATCATATGGTAATGTATATACTTTAGATGCTGGAGAGGTGTGTGTTTGCAGTTTTGTTCGGATGGCGATTGTAGGAGCTGCTCAGTATGTGCGTATGAGAAGGGGAAGTGTTGAGGTGGATGGGCTTTATTCATCGAGCGATAATTGAATTTTAGGTGGGCAGCATTTGTTTGCTACGTCCGACTATTTCGTTTGCTCCAAGACAGAGCGCGGTGGAAGAACATGCCACTCTTTCTTCAGGCGCGAGGCTCGTTCAGACAAGCTGAGAAAAGTAGTGGCCGTTTGTGTCTCAATGCTGCTAACACCGGGGTGCTTAGCAGTGTGAGTACGGTACCACATCACACAAGCTACTGTAGTGGTGGATGTCTGCTGTACGGATGTTGTGTCGTACATGTTACTACGGTCTTTCTCTGTCTCGTATACACGAAGACCCTGGCGTGAGTGTGGAGAGATCTCGCCGGATCAAGTAGCAGGTAGGCAACACGGGCATAGAAGACAAGTGCAGTTGAGCAATTGCAGTGAGAGAAACCGGAATGGCACACATTTCATACTGTATGGCATTATCAACGTGGTGCCCTGCAATTGGATAAATATTTTCCATGCTGCCCACTGCTCTATAAAGTCGAGATGGAAACTGCGCTGCGCCAGGCCGTTCCGCGTCTCTCCCGGGATCAATAGATCCTCTTCGCCTTCCACATTCCCGCGACTTCAAAACAGGGGACAGAGAGCGACAGTCCAGCAACAGCCGTTGTCCGCGTCGTCGTCGTTGTCAAAATCAATTTCTCCATTCACGTTTTCTCAACCGGCCGACCGCCCGTCAATGTCTGTTTCGCTTGGTTAGCTTCTGTTTGCTTCTCAGCACCCCCGCCATGACCTCAGGGATGCACTCGGCCCGAACAGAGCTAGTACCGTCGTCCAGTGACGTCATTAAGATTCTCATCTCCACAGACAATCACTTAGGCTACCTGGAAAAGGATCCTGTTCGCGGCGATGACTCCTTTCGCGTCTTTGAAGAAGTCCTGCAACTGGCGACCGTGAACAAAGTCGACATGCTCTTACTCGGTGGTGACCTCTTCCACGACAACAAGCCCTCTCGCAGTACCATTTTGAAAACAATGCGACTTCTTCGTCAGCACTGTCTATCTCCCGACGGTGAAATCCATCTGGCAGTGCGCTCAGACCCTGCTGCTGTCAATTACATGGATCCCTGCGTTGCCGTATCCCTTCCAGTCTTTGTCATTCATGGAAACCATGATGATCCTACTGGCGGAACAGGCCTTGAGGCTCTCAGTTCCCTTGATCTTCTCGCACAGGCTGGTCTGATTACATATTTTGGTCGAGCCGTCTCTTCAAAGAAAGTTGAGGTTGCCCCTATTCTTTTGCAAAAAGGCCAAACAGCATTAGCGCTATACGGCCTGGGAAATGTTAGAGATGAGGTATTGTACGATACTTGGGCGCGCCAAAAGCGAGTCAAATGGCTCAGTCCAGAGCAACCCGCAAATCTTCAGGCAGAACGCCATTTGGATGTGGAGGGAAGCGATAGAGACGGCGACGAACGCAGCGACCATGTCCCCTGGTTTAATTTGTTTGTGCTGCACCAAAACCGCCTTACCCGCGGATCTTCGAGGGGCATTTCAGACACTCTTTTACCACCCTGGCTTGATTACGTCGTCTGGGGGCATGAACACGATAGCATACCTGACCTCACGCTATCGAAACCACCAATCGTGCAACCAGGTTCCACAGTTGCAACTTCACTGTCCGCAGGGGAGGCCAAGCCCAAGCATGCCATTTTGCTTGAGGTATACAAAGGAAAACTTAAGCATCGCTCCGTCCCATTATACACGGTGCGAAACCTCCATTTTGAAGATATTGTTCTATCTGAACAGTCAGGGCTGTCCGAAACAGATCCTGAGGGGCTGAACAAGTTTTTGGAGGACTCTATCAACGACGTGGTCGAGAGGCAGGAGACTTTGTTTGATCACAAAGTAGCGACCTTTCAAGGTGGCACTTCCAAGGAGGTGGTCCATGGAGTGCGATATCCCCCACGTTCTTTCTATACTGACAAACTTAACTCTATAGTCCGGCAACCACTGATAAGACTTCGCGTAGAAATAACCGGCAACTGGGAATCACCTAATCCCATAAGATTTGGTCAGGCTTATGTTGGTCGAGTTGCGTCAGCGGCAGACATGCTATTGTTTTACAGAAGCAAGAGAGGATTGCGAAAGAAGACAAGAACCTTCTTACAGGGGAATGCATCTGCGATGGTGAGCGAAGATGAAGAGGATGGTCCTGGTAATGTCCCGCTTTCGCAGACAGATGACGATGGACGGGATGTGATTCATATCCCCAAGCTTGTCCAATATTTTCTCTACCATCGGCAAGGAGGTGGCAGTGGCCTGAAGTTTCTTGAGTTAGACAAGCTTACTGGTGCTGTGGACCAATTTGTCAACAAGATGGAAAACCAAGCCATTCCCGATTACGTGCAGTCCTATATGGCTGTGCAACTGAAGAAAACGCTAAAAGAAGCTAACAACGGCGGAGAAACACTGGATGAGAGCGAATTGCTGGAGAGGTTTAAGAAGGAAGCCAACGCAGCTGTGACTCGAACTTTAGTCGAGTCTCAACCACAGAAGGTGAAGGATGGTAAAGCTGATGCGACAAAGGGGATCGACGCAGGCAGTGAGAAGTGTCTTGCAAAGGATGAGGTGGAGACCGGCGATGGAGTAAAAGAGAAAAAGGAGATGCACAGCACAATACAAGAAAGACTTGAAGATGTACACGCAGTGCTAGCAGGTCATCCCACGCTTTTGGCAACATTGGAGAGGACTGGTCGAATCGCGAGTGACGACGATGGCGACAGTGGCAAGAAAACACCAAGTAAACGCTCAGCACGTTCTACCGGGAGAGAAACTAGTCGGGTTCGCGGCAGCGCGAGAAGCAAGCTAACAACTTCAAGAAGAACGGCTACTGCAAGAAAACCGCCTCCACGAGAAGCGAATCCTCGGCGAGCCTCTCGAGTAGACTCGATGGTCATTGAGGATAGTGATGAAGAACAAATTGAAGCTGCTAACAAACAAATTGTCCTGAGCGAGTCTGAAGAGGAATACGTGCCCGTACCTTCTACAAGAAAACGACGACCGCGAGCCAGCGCATCCGGAAGCAGGAGTGCCTCTCGGAGTAGGTTAGAGCAAGCTCCCACCTCACAACCTCGACGTTCTGCGTTCGCAATGCGAGCAAGAGCGCGAAGGAATACGGCAACAATCGACTTGGATGAAGAGAGTGGTGACGACGCAATGTAAGAAGCGCTCTTTCCGCTTCGCAAGTCCGCCATTGACATCCTGACGTCCGTTTGAGAGGTAACTATAAACACTGTAGTTTAATGAGTCGTCGAGTGTCCTCGAGTCATATCCGAATAGATAGTTGGGCCCTTCAACACAGTCATGGCACAAGCAGTAGTTTTGCGGTGTGGCAGAACTGCGCTTGCAGCATACTGTTTTGCGGTAGACAAACCACGGCATGACGTATCCGTTATCCAGCTGAAGCGAACACCCCCTGGTGGCTTCACCGTCTGGGTCATGCTACCACACCAAAGCTCTCCTGTCGGCCACCAGTGATGTGAACCTGTGGGACGCAAGTATACACTTTCATCAGAGGATCAACAAGTGTATCTGTGTTGGCGCAAAATCGATACTCTATGGGATGGGCAGGTGAAGAAATCTATGACTCTAGCCGTTTCGCCTGAACAACATCGTCTTGGAGTCTTTGGGCAGTGCGATTCCGCCGTCTCCTCTCGCATTCCGTCCGCACAGCGTTCATATTTCCCGGTACGTCTTCCGAGATGCGCCACTCGATTGCGCGAACAGGAACCAAACCTCGGGGCACGATACTTACGTTATAGTACAAAGCAGTCCGATTTTGGTCGACTCTCTCCATCCTCCAAACCCCCTCGAACTTGTTGAAATCTCTACTGGAAACAAGGTCAAACTCGATGGCTCTCCAATCGCTGGAGGTGCGATTTACTTCGGTCATGTCCATGGTCAAGCTAGCGCGAAATTCAAAGCCCAAGATTTTCTGGGAACCGCACTGCTCGACTCGGATACCATTTCTCGGGTGTGCCTTGAGGTTGCTGAGGGCGAGGTTGGGAATGTGGTCGGCGAGGCGATCATAGTCGCTGAGGAGTTCCCAGACTATTTCCAGAGGGGCTTGGATAAGGTTGCTGGCGGAAATGTGTCTCCTGTTGGGAGCGGGCGCCTCGATGATAACTTTGACGCGGCCTGTCGGAAGAGAACCATTGCGGTTGGACTGAGCGACAGGCGCGCGGCGGGAACGCTCGCGACTGGCGACCATCTTTAGTTGGGATGGGCGGCGCGAGGCGACAGATGGGAGGCCATGTTGCCGGGTGCTCTTGAAGGGCAAGGGGCTAGACTGGAAGGCCGGTAAGGGACGCAAACACAGCATGGTAGTGGGACAGTTAAGCATGGCCAGCGGTGGGGAGCACACTGTTGTGAAGGAGGATGCGGGCTGCTTCTGCTTGCGTAGGCGTGGGAGAGTGCGGACAAGTGTGGGAGGGGTGAGGGGATAGGTAGAATCAGTGCGGTTGGAGTATGCGCAGGGATGGTCATACGAGGATGCAGCGGGTTGAGTCTTGAGGGGGAGGCAGTGGACGGGATGGGCCGAGATGGGGCTTTGAGAAGGCGTTCAAGGAGGGCTGCAAACCAAATGTGCGGCGCTCGGGCTTGGTTCAAAATATCTCGGCAGCTGCCTGGGCGAACCGGTGTGTCTCATAATGCTGTTACAGCCATGCATCTCAGATCTTCCGCCAAAACACTGCACGCAGCTCTCCCATTCCCCAACACGTGGTATACGCACACCCACCCCCTTTCTTCAGCACATCGCTGCACTTGATATATTCTCAAACACAAATATCTTCACTCGCAACCGTGCCGATGCTGCCATTCTTTATACCAACTCGACTTAAATATCCCTCCAGCACGCGTCTGTCCTTTTTACGAAGATGCCCAATTTCCTGGCTCCGTTCATCAGCGTATCAGCCCTCTTATCCGTTCTCCTGTGCACACTCACATCTGGAGTACAGCAAACAACTTCGAAGGCACTTGTTCCAGATCGACACGCTCTTGACGTTTTCAAGCAGTCCCCAGACTTCACCTACTTCTTGTGGCGGGAACTTGTACATTTTTCATGAGTAGAAGACCTCTGCTGCTGCCGTCTCATCGCTAATACCATTGCAAGAGGTTGACACCAACTGCTTGTACAATTGCTCCCTAGCTAGGAATTTCCAGAGCGCTCCGCACCGCGCTACCTTTTCGTGACCCATCATTCCTCCCTGCTGTGAATTTTCCATATGTGTTCTATTGCATGTATTATGGTTTTGTAACATGCTGTCGTGTTTCTAGGGAAAAGTGTGATCGGCATCAGCATACCCCAACAGTCCTGGTACCATCATTTTCCCGTTGTTATGCCCAATCCTACCTATTGCCTACTCAGTTTCAGGGCGTTGTATATTTGTGAAGAATTCACCACGCAGCTCAATACCATTTTCTTTCGCTAAGGATTGTCCCATTGTTTTGCCTTTGCTGCGATGATCAAGTGCTCCCAAAATGTGGGCAGGAGAACAGACACCAAAGTTGTGTACTAGTCTAAGTTTAGTTTAACTTGAGGAAGCATGTCACATGAAAGTGAAAATGCGCACTTTGCTTTGTGATGCCGAGAAGGCCAAGCCCTTTTGCTACGTTGTATTTCAAAATTTTCTCAATTGTAGTCGTGCAGACTCATATCCCGAAGTATTTTAGTGAGCACAACACAAGGATGATCATCTTTACCGTACGCAAAATTTCAATAGCTGCTAGTATTTCCTGCCGCCATAGTTGTCGAAAAGTGATGTCTCGACCAGACTCACAGGGGCACGCCAGAGCTGTCTGGTGCGGTTATTGCGGCAGCAGAGCCTCCGATTGGGCTATCCAATGATCGAGATAGTACATTGCTCCCTGTACCCATTGCTTGTGCTTGCCCATTTGAGCCTTGGGAAGCTGCCCAGCCAGGAGGCAATTGGACATCCTTCGTAGTGGGCGGCGTAGCAGATTGCGCCATGAGGATGCCAGCATTACCAGATGCTCCAGCAGATTGTATGTCATTTGCACTGGATGTCCCATCCGGTGTCATGGCAGTACGAGTTAGGCCTGTATCAGGTGCTCCAAGAGCTTGCGACATTGCGGGGTTCAAGTTGGCACCAGCAGTGCTTCTGTCCCGAATTGCAGACGGATTGCCTGCGCTACCCTGGTTCAAAGGACCAGTTGCCGGTCCCCCAGGCGGCTGCGTCTGCTGTTGCATCTGGTGATCAACTGCAGCAGGTTGCCCTCTGGATACTGCAGATGGTCCAACCCCAACAGGACCTGGCTCGTTTTGTCCATTTCGTTCTTGCTCGTTTCCCGGAAGGAGGTACGGGGGAGGATATGCACGCGCGTCAGGATGCAGTGTAGAGAAGGGTTGGCTCTTCTGAACGGGTGTATCTTTGAGCCCGATCTCGGCATACTTCTGCAGGCGCTTGGGATCGCGCTGATCATCGAGAGGAGCGGCCGTAGATGGATCGGGGACTTGTTCTCTCTCCTGTGGTCAAGCGTACAACCTCAGACGTTAGGAATCGTTTGTTTTCGCAATGGTTCATCATTGCGAACAAAAGAAAACGGCGATGCCACTTACCTGTGGTGGTACTGGGCTTGAAAAACTGCATTGTAGAATTGCGCAAGCTAGTAGAACGAGACACAGGTTCAGCGAGGTATGTCTTGCTGTGGTCATCTTCAAGCCTTCTCAACGACTCGAAAAGGAGGATGTCAAGTGCAATATTGCAATGGAAAGAAACAAGCGGCCCTTCTGGAGATCCTTATACCATGGTAGTCTACCTGGGAAGCGACGCTGTTGTAATTCACGCCGGAAGTGAGAAAAACTAAAAAAGCTGCATATTCAAATTGAGCTTTAGAAATAGAAAGGCTACAGATCCAATATCGTAGACTTTGTTGATATGCATGTCGAAGCGGCATTGAGCCATTGTGTCGGGCACTTGCAAAACTGTCAAAGTTTGAAAGAAAAAAATATCAGAGCCACGCATCGTCAAGAGCAGTTTATTGCAGATTTCGAATAACAAAACAAACTGCCAGAAGTAGTCGTCTACATCTGCGCTTCATGCCTAGGCCATGACATGGGCCAAGGTAGACGATTATTTCTTTGAACTCTGCACTCCACTTCGCTTGACGCAGCCGTAGCAGTAAGGACCTCGTACTCCTCCATGACCTCGCCTGTCCCATTCCCCGGTTACAGGCAACTGAAGAATTCGAAAAACTTCTTTGCAGTGATTTACCGTGACACGCGGTCCCGCGGGATTCGCATCTCGGAGCTCATCCTTGAGAACACATAAACGCACGTAGGCTTTCGTTGTGTGTCTGTTGGTGTCTTCACTGAATTCATATTGGTCGAGCAGGTGCAGAGCAATTGCTTGCCATTGCTCCCAATGCTTACCTCCGTAAGCATCGTCATAATAGTTCATTGCCGCCATTCGACGGGCGATCTCCTCACGCTCCATGGGGTTCTTCGGACCGCTCTGAACGCCACGATCGACCCCTGCCAAATTCCGCTGATTTCCAATATGATCGACCCCCCGACTATTGGTTGACCCTGCTCCCAAACCATTGCCGTTCTGTCCTGGATAGCCCATGGACAACGCCCCGGGGTGTGATGTCACCATCGGGTGCATCATCTGTGGGACACGCATATCAATGTACTGAGGCAAGCCCGGATAAAAAATCATAGGTCCCGCTGGTTGGGTATTGAGATGTGGCGGCACAGTGTGAAAATATCCTCGGCTGCCGTCTTGACTGTGTAGAGCGCTAGTCTGAGGACCCAATGGTGCAACTGGCACAGGACCAGCCGCTCGGAATGGGAGAACCATCTGCGCCTTGTGAGGATGATTGCCCGGATAATGGTTTGCCATGACCGGCATTCCCGCTACTCCTTGTTGATATATCGGGGCTGCTGGAACCCTGGTGTTATCAAAGCTTGGAGGTTGATAAGGACTACGTTCTTTCAGTTGACCCCTGTGGAAATTGGAAGCACTACCCACTCCGATGGTATGCGCCCGTCTCCTACTGGACGTCTCCGACTGTTGAACTTCATGACGTGTGTTCACCGCATCCTGATGTATTGGCGTGGCGTGGCTATCCCCATTCCTTCGCACGTGCTGTACAGGTGCCGGTCGAAATTGCTGTGCTGGTCTATCCATAATTGGATTATACGTCGGGATACTCGGTTCATTAATCCTTGGGGATACCGCCTTTTGGACGTGCTCGACAGCAACATCTGAAAGTGGATTTTGGAAGCTTTGGTAAATCCTACCTTGTGACGGGGCATGCATCGAAGGAGAAACGCTGTGTGAAACATGAGGGTGGGCATCTGGTGCCCTCATACCATGCGGTTGATAAGCAGTGGTGCCAGCAAAGTGAGAAACATTTGGAGAATTTTGTAGGTTTGGAAAGGATGTGGGTGACTGAGGAGGAAACTGTCTTCGGCTCGTCACTGTCTTCGTTGGGTCCAGCACCGTTGGTGTCAGCAAGGCCTGGACTGAAACTCGACCGTCGGCAGCTAGAGGGGTCCCTTCAGGTGACGGTCGCGTCTTCTTCATAGTCCCTGACGACATATTCTGCGACCCATACGAAGACCCATCGCCCAACCTCTCTTCTGCAACCAATACCTCAGCGTTTGGATGTCTGGGACGGCGTTTCGTTCTCTTTTCAGTAACTCCGCTGGAGCTCAGCAGCAGGTCCACTTCACCTCTGGAGATAGTACTCCCTGTTCGTGACGTTGACATCACATCAGTAACCTCACCGCACGTTATCTTCAGGTTTGGGTTCAGAGCCTGGCCACCTTCCACTCGCTGCTTCTTCCGAGGTGGCTGCATGAGAGATACCATGTCATTTCCTGCAACACGTGCGTTCCTTCCCAGGTTCTTCTCACCGACAGGATTATATCCAGTGACAGTTGACAGTTCATCCTCGCTGTGATCTAAGAATATGGCATCTTCTATCAACTTCGAGGATTCAATTGTCAGCATTTGCCGTTCAGTTACGCGCAGCTTTCCACCTGGAACACTTGTCTGGTCGACGATGATTGTTCTGCACTGCCGCTGAGCCGAAAATATCCTCCGCATGACCTCCATGGCATGCCGCGCTCGGGTACGTGCTTCCGGTCCATTGACGATTCTGTTAGGATACAGGTACAGATTGCAAATACGTCTCGCGGAGGAGGAAGCCTGATCCCAGTGGGGGTTAATCGTTCTATACTCATCGAGCGGAAGTAGTCCAAACTTGTACAGCCTACTTTCCTCTGCTGTAACTTTCCACGGTGTGAACACTAACGAATCAGGCAATCCAGCAAGCTCTGGAACATATTTGCGAACGTATGCGGCGGCGACTTTTGTGGACTGCGTGTGCAGTGACATAGGATTCACAAGAGTGGAAAATGGGAAAGAATCTGAGTTACAACCGGCAGTCCACTGCCACCCGAGGGAGTTACAAGCTTCATCACCGTCCACAAGTGTGCGAACCATGTGTGCGGCTCCAACCGGCCACGGCAGGAGAAGGTACTTGCAGAAGAAGGATGCGGCAAGGAAGCGCATCCGATTGTGGATCCAACCTTCCCGAAGCAACTGGCGCATAGCAGCGTCTACAATCGGAAACCCAGTGTTGCCCGTTTCCCATGCCTTGGCTATCATACCGTCATTATCATAGACCCAAGGAAATACTTCAAACTCAGGCATGATCGGTTTGCAAGCGGCGTGTGGGTAGCGACCGAGCATGTAGTAGCCAAATTCTCGGAGACTCATGTTTTTTAGAAACGTTCGCGAAGCCTCCAGGCCCCGTGAATTTCCTTTCACTTTGGCTTGAGCACCGGCATCGACGACAGCATAAAAGAGGGCTCTTGGTGATATCTCTCCAAATCTGACATGAGGGCTAAGTCTAGATGTCGCAAGATCTTTCCCAGTAACCATTCCATCTCTTCTCGCAGGTGCCGAAGAAAACCTAGCAAAGCGGTCATCCTTCAAGAAAGCGGCGATCGCTCTCTCAGCTGCCACGCAACCTATGGCGGAGACATCGCCGGGAGAGTCATCTCCTTCGACAGACAAGCCTTGGAGAAGCTCAAGATCAGTGATGTGTCCCAAAGGCGTTCTGACAGGCGAGAACGGGCCGGGCATGGGTTGGTCCGATGAGAAGTATGTGGTGGAAGACCCCTCTACAGCTGAATGCGGGGAACACATCATCAGAAGGGCTTGAATTTGGTGGAGTGGCAGCGAATTGACTTGACTGCGGTCCAAGGGTGGACGAGGTCTTGGAGGAGGGTGCTCGCGCATAGTATCGATCCAGAAACGTGTATAGGTTTGGAAGTCATCGTAGCGACTCTGGCCGGTATAGTTCGGGGGTAGCAAGGTCTCGGAGAAGAAGTCGTGATAGACGACATCCATGGCGGTGAGTTCGGAACGAACGGCATCTTCTACGGGATATGCTCGCGGCTTGTATCGCTTATTCCAGAAGACACGGGCGGCACCCAATGCGCGTGCTACTTCAGAAACAATGGGGGCGGTATCCTCTGCGCAATCGACGCGTCGAAGAATTAAAGTGATGCCGAGAGTTTCAAGTTGGTCACGCAGGACGCGGAGCGAATGATGGAGGTACCAACGTTGTACGCGACCGATGGCGAAGCCGCCGTTGGGGGAGAGAGGACTTGGTGGTTGTGACCGACTTGGTGGTTGTGAAGCGTCAAGATGAGAGCTGGACGCGGAGACAGTGCCGAGACGACGCATGTAGGAGGAGACCCCATCGGTCTCGGCGCCTCGTTCGAGAATGTAGAGGGCGACGACGGGTTTGTTAGCGGAGACAGCGGCTTCCAAGGCGGTGTGGTCGTGGATTCGAAGGTCGTGGCCGCGGAACCAGACGACGGTTGGCCCGTCGTGTAAGGGGGGTGGCGGGGGTGCTGCTTGGCGAGGAAAGGCCGGGCAAGCGGACTTGGAGGTAGAATCGCCGAGAATACGGCGGACGGCGGCTGGGTCGGGCATGGTTGTTGCTGAAGGGGTTGGGAGAAGGAGGAGGGAGGTAACGCGCGGATTGGGTTGAAGGCGAGTTGGGAAGGCGGAACGAAGTAGGGAGTGGCAACGGGTGGCGCTATGACGGGAATAGGCCGTGGCAGGGGATGGGGGTGAGTGGAGGAGGAGGGGTGTTTGCAGTGGGGGGAGGCGGGGCAAAAAAAAAGAAAAAAAAAACGAAAACGAAATGAACCGGTTGCGCTCTGGGATGGATGGCGAGGGATTGGCGCGGAAGGAGTAGTGAGGGTGCGGATGTGCCGGTTTGGTTAGGGTATCTTCGGATATTTGGACGCAGGCCGCCGGGGGGCCCCTTGCGGACCGCCTGCCGGTCCGCGGGGCGACCCTTTCTCACTCCATCAAAATCAGATATTATTGGCGTTAAGCGGCGGACGCCGATGCCCCATTGGCCAACCCTACGCCGCCCTGATATTGAGGCGAAAGGGCACTCGCTCCCTAAATGGGACCTGCCCCTTTACAGTACTGTAGGTACCCCTCAATAGTGCACCCTCGTGCCATCAGCTATATACGCACTACTGACAGCGCGAACTAATAAGGTCCATCCACAGGTCACACACCCACTGGCCACAAAATGCTCCGATATGAGCATTTGACGTCGCTTCTCGCTTGTTGGTGATAGGTCAGCGGTCGCGGTAGTCGCCATCGGTGGTTGGGGTGTCCGGTCGTGATCTACATCGGCATGGCTCCACGTGCACAGGTGTACACGTGGCAAGAGTTGTGACATAGCTGAAAGGGGTGCACATTTGGCCATGTGCACTGTTGTAAAGCGAACTATTGAGGAGACCCCCCCTGTACATTCTCCGTCTCGTGGTCTCGATCTCACACCCCAAAGAGACGCCATTGGATATCCAAAAAGATTTTTTTCTCACAGTGTCCCATGAACACCCCAAACTCCCTACCGCCGGAGGACAAGCTCCTTGCTCCACGAACAGCTCCTGCGGACTGCATTAACGCCGCCCCCCTAAAGCCTCCCCTGTGCGTAGGAGGCGCCCCCGGGCGCCATGTGGCTCCCATCTCACCCAGCAAAACGAATCAACTCCCCCGCCCCACCACAGTACAGAGTTCTGTAGTGCCATTTCTACCTCGTGATGCGCACCTCTTCCCCTCGCACCCTCTTTCGGCCCCCGACCTGAGTTCCGCAACAAGAAATCTCAGGCCGACCCCCCCAATCAAGCCACTCAAAAGCCGAATTTGAAATCTGCCGCATGTGTCATATCCCCGCTGCACCAGCGACGGTTCGTGATCGAGTTTACGACGGCTACATTGGCTGTCACACATTTCGAGAATTGATGCTACTTAGAAACCTAATCACCTCTCTCCCTCTATCTCGAAGCCACCGTTCCAGGACCCCACCGACGCCAAGTAGCAAAACCCCCCTCATATCCAATAAACTCTCGAGGGAGCAGCAGACGCCATCGGGCCATGGCGGTCCGGATGCGACCCCCTTGCAGATGCGGAATACAACAACTTCAAGTGCTGCGCGATATTAACCACCTCCCAAAAAAATCCTCAGCTTGCACATCCGAACTCGTGGGCTGAGGTACCCAGCGTTTTGGAGAATCTGGAAGGGGAAGACTAAAAATTACCAAATTGCCCCGATTACCAAATTGCCCCTTTCAGGAAGGGTATCCCCTCCGAGCCTACTACAGTACCAAGGGTACAGTGTGATGACGAGTCGTCACTCTGTCCCGTTGCCCCCAAACGGTCCAACTGTACTGCACAGCTCACATTGCACCCCAGAAAGGCCACTTCGAGGTCTTCGGAAGAGGACCACTGTATCGTGCCCGATCAGACCAACTGCGCAGAGGCAGTATATTTCTGAGATGTAAATGCATTCTTGGTTGGTTCAATGAGCACGTCTTTCAAGTCGTTCAAGTCGATTGTCTGGTGCCGCTATCGATACACGTGTTTCAAAATACCCCATCGCAATTCAGCCCATCTGTGCAAAAATATGCTCACCCGTCATTCGTTGCTCCCCCAATTCCGTATCCACGCCAACCTCAAACCCACTCCCGCCTCCTGCTCACATCCCTCCTAGTAGGAGGCTCCTACAGTATGTATTCATTCTCCTGATGTCAGGAGGTGTCAACACCTGCCCAGGCAACCACGCCCGGCCGAAGATATCTTCGTGCGACAAGCAGTGATCTACCTCTTCCTCCTGCGACCACATCCAAGGTTGCCCTTCTCCAATGGCCGTCGACCGCCCCCGAAGAATAATCTCTTCGTCCTCTCCCGCCACCGTTGCGCAACTCGCCCCCTTGTCAAAATACGCCCACCGCTGGCAAGTCGTGATTCTGCATTCAGATCGCTTCTCCGCTCGCCCCGCAAGATTCGTGAACCTTCATCATCAACCGTCCCCCACCCCCCGCCTTTAATTCCTCCTGTGAGAACCGTGCGATCGCACCTGTCGCAACATTTACTTCACGTGCACGAGCGTGTGAAACCGCGCAGCACCCAGGATGGGTCTTAGCTCTGTTGTAAATAAAGATGTAAGGTATATGATAAGGTACACATAACCCGGGAACCCGGCCTATCCCCGGCCTATCCCCTCCCCTGGCAATACGGAAATACAATGTGCTGTAATGCCTAACCGAGCCAGTGATGCACTCCGTCCCCCTACAGTACTGTACCCACCCGCTTAAAGCATCGCTCTATAAAATGCGAGTCTTCTCGAACACGCAATTTGAAACTACTGCCGTACCTGTACTGTCAGTGCATTTGTACAGTACAAGGGGGGTCGCGAGATAGTGCTACCCTGTGTCAGTGGGCCCAAAACGGCACTATATCGAACCAGGCACTGTAAGATAATGAGATTTACGGCTTTTTTGCAGCCACTCCCTTGCGCATCACTGCTCAGAAAGACCGCTCGCAGGACGCCATCACTCATACTTTGCATCTTCATAACAGACTCAAGTCTAATCAAGCATTTCTGTTATTAGAGCACCCCTATTGTCCTGCTAAATGTCCAAATATATCATATTTGGAAATTTGGCTTGGCATTTTGCAGCACTATTGGTCGCCAAATATGCAGAACTGCACGCCAAATATGTAAATGGAGTTCTATCCATTGCGGAAAATGGAACTTACTTTAGACATTTAACATTATACAACGGCCAATCAACTGCGCACAAATTACCAGGTTTATGGCACGTGTCCTACTTCCCGCCAAATCCGAAACTCGCCTTTGTCGTTGGCAACAATTCCTTCAGCGTCACCGTCTCGATGAGACTCGACTCCATCCCTTCCTCCCCCTGCGTAATACTTTATCCTTCACCGAAACTTTCACGCCTCAACAAACCGTGAACGTCTTCGTATCTGTCATTTGGCCATGTCCTCTATGCCGATCCCATCAACGTAGGCTCGCGATTGAGCATGTCCGGGCCATAAAGTTCTTTCATACAAGCTAAAAATATGGAAAAGTATTGGCGTTGAGACTCCGCACTCATACGGGCCATGTCATCGAGTTGTCGAAACGACAAGCCCGTAGCTAGTCTTCGTACGGAGCACATTATTTTCCAGTGACTTGTGTGTCCAGGCTTCCCGAAATAGTCTACACTCTGTGAAAAAATGGGAAAGCGAGATAGCAGATCCTGGTGGATTTTAGAATATAACACGAGCGGAATGTGGAATATAGCCCGGAAATTGGAGGGCGGATACTTGGGTGCGGTGATAGATAGTCGGGGATCCAGCTACACGGCCCTCGGACAATTGTCTGAGAGTCGGAGATGCGGCCATGGCCCCTGCCCTGCATCAAAGACGACATCATAAAGGCTGTGGAGTTCATCACCGTTTCAATACCTTCTAGTTCATCTTCGTCATCAAAAATGGCGTCGGCGATGTGTTCAGTATCGGAAGCAGAATCTGCGTCCATTGTGAAAAATTGTTGGTGGCCATGCAAAGCCCAAGCGGGAGACTGCCGGTCACTAGCTGCCCTCCCACGACTTCGCGTCGATAAACCGAGGGCGAGGCCGTTGTCATGAGGTCTTCCTCCTACTCATTGTCTACCGGTTGAGGGGGACATACGCACCGTGACATACGGGACAAACGTAAGGCCCTGATTTGTCTGCACTACCGCGGCGACAATTCGGGCAACAAGCTTAACAAAATCGAACACAGTAGAGCAAGGCCCTTATTTGTCTGCACTACTGTGCAGACAAATCAGGACGACAAAGTTTACTCGAGCGTACTATAAAGAACACTACTGACGATGCGACATACCAAAAGTAGTCTTAGCGGTAGTGATTGTTCACATTAATAGTGAAAACGCCCCCGCTGATATTCTGGACGCCAGATAAAAGGCGCATATTACTGTCTTCTTTTTCTGTGCCACCTTCCTGAAAACATTCCTCCACCTCGTCGCCTGCTGCTAAGTTTTCTTGTCCGTCCTGCGCCGCCTGCTCTTCACACCGGACCTCCACCTTCTGACGTTTCGCATTTGAGTCTCCAAAAATTGCGGCTTGTTGCTGCATTCCGAGAGCACCTCGTAGGTTGTGGTAGTTTTTCAATGACGACAGATCACGGTGTCCTGTTCTCATTGCAACATTCACATCGTTCTGGCCATCCTCGAACAGCAACGTCACCACAGAGCCTCTCAATCCATGCAACGTCATACCTTGCTTGACTCCAGTCTCTGTAATTCCCTCCTTTCTACAGATGCTCCCCACAATACGTGCAAATACATTCCGGCCTAGGTGCTGGCGCTTGAAAAAGTTTTCAAACGTCGTTGCGCGAGCATTAGCTGCCAAAAAGAATCGGTCGCTTCCGCAATCGAGCGAGTTCCTAATCCGCATGTAGTCTTCGAGATCCTCAATAAATTGAGCTTGCCGCCGAGACACGTCCTGTTCCAAACGCACACCTCCTGAGGCTTGTCCTGGACAGCCTTCCACCCTCCCGTCGCCGTTTTCGAAGCACCCACGCGGCTGCCAATAACTCTACATATTTTCCACACCTGCTCC